TCTAGGTCACTGTGTATTAAACGTCGCTGAAGAAAATCAATAACTTATACATGGGCCGTCAAAATTCTCTAACACACCTGAGCTCATATTTTCTTTAAAACTGCACCTAAAATCAAAACAAATATACTGTAGGAAAGATCACAGGAAGACCTATCAGACGGTGTAAAAAGTTTTAAAATCGGTAAAGAATTAAAAGAGTAAAGATTTTTAAAAAAGAAATAAAAGGATATCCGCCCAAGATCAAAGAGTACGGTCATCAACAAGTGTCCTTGATAATGAGTTTGACATGTCCTGTCAAAAAAAAGCAAACATACCTGAGCTCATATTTTCTTTATTAGTGCACTTACAAACAAAAGAAATATATTGTTGGAAAGGTCTCGTAAAGATCTATTTGATGGTGTATAAAGTTCTAAAATCGGTCAAGAAATAAAAAAGTAATGCTTTCTAAAAGAAATCAAAGGATATCTGCCAAAGATCAAAGAGTACGGTCATACGCAAGTGTCCTTGACAATGATTTTGACATGTCCTGTCAAAACAAAAGGCTAACTTACCTGAGCTCATATTTTCTTTATTAGTGCACTTACAATAACACCAAATATACTGTTGGAAAGGTCTCGTAAAGATCTATTTGACGGTGTAAAAAGTTTTAAAATCGGTCAAGAAATAAAAGAGTAATGATTTTTTAAAGAAAAGTTCTAAAAGTACACTTGCACTCAAGTGGCCTAACACACCTGAGCTTATATATTGTTTATTAATGTACTCACATGCAAAACAAATACATTTTTGGAAAGTTCTCGCCAAGATCTATTTGACAATATAAAAAATTTTAAAATTGGATTAAAAATTTTTTTTTGAAAAATTTAACTTTAAAATTTGAAAAATTTAAACATCTTCTTAAAATTTCAAAAGTCAGGTGCACATGTCAAGGTCACAATTCTATCATTCCTGAAAATTTTAAATTTCTATTTTGCGCAGTTTCTTCGGAGTAGGACAGACCGGAATTGCAGAAAAACGTCAAAAATACGTCATATTTCGCGACCGGAAGTGAAATCATCAAAAATGAAAAAAACGTCCCGAGGGAACATCGTTCCCTATCATCTCCGAAAGTTTCATAAAAATCCACTGAACCGTTACTGAGATACCGGTGTAGGAAAAAAAATAATAATAATAATAATAATAAGAAAAAGAAACAGTACAATAATAGAAGGGTCTTCCGCTGAAGACGGAAGACCCTAATAAACAGTACAATCACTATAAGGTCTTCCGTCTGTAACAGAAGACCTTAATAATAAAAAAGACGAAAACAATAGGGCTTTTCACCTGAAAGCGAAAAGCCCTAATAATAATAGGGAAAAAGAAACCGAACGAAAACAGTAAGGTCTTCCGTTGGAAACGGAAGACCTTAATAATAACTAAAAAGTATACCTTAATAATAACTAAAAGTGCATACCAGTAATTCCCGGGAATTACCAGTATTTCCCACTGTCCTGGGAAATATGACTTTTTCCTGGATTTTTGCCAACCCTGGGCTCACCTGAGCACTGTGGCTAGGAAAAAAGCAAAAATCAGTTCAGTATTGAAAAGCTTTAAAGCATAAGTGGTCCCGACCTACCCCTAAAAAGGAGGGGGGTATGATTTAAACAAAATTGAATCTACACTAACTAAAGATGCTTACATATAATGCTTACATATTTCTTTGTGACTTTTTTTCCTATAAGTTTGAACCCACCCTACCCCTGGGGGTCATGGTTTGAACAATTCTGAATCGATACTATCTGATGATGCTTCCATTTAATTATCACCAATAATAGCTTCCCTCTTCTTGAGAAGAAGATTTTTAAAAAATTTTCCGATGTGTTCCTATGCATTACTTTAATCATCAATTGTGGCCCCACCCTATCCCCAGGGGATCATGATTTTTTTCAAACATGAATCTACACTACCTTAGGATACTTCTGAATAGTTAATAACCAATGATGGCTTTGCTGTTCTTGAGAAGATTTTTTCGACATATTCCTATGGAAAACTTTGATTGTCCATTGTGGCACCACCCTTCCCTCAGGGGTCATGATTTGAACAAACTTGAATCTACCCCACCTGAGGATGTTTCCATATAAATATGACCAATCATGGCTTTGCTGTTCTTGAGAAGAAGCTTTTTTCCTATATACTCCTTTGTAAAACTTTGATCCTCTATTGTGGCCCCACCCTACCCTCGGGGGTCATGATTTGAACAAACTTGAATCTAGACTTGGAAAAGGGCGTGGCCCTTCATTTGAACAAACTTGAAATCACCTTTACCCAAGGATATTCTGTGACAAGTTTGATTGAAATTGGCCCTGTAGTTCTGGAGAAGATGACACTGTGAAAAGTTTACAACGACAACAGACAACGGAGAATTTTTTATCAGAAAAGCTCACTTGAGCCTTCGGCTTAGGTGAGCTAAAAGAAATTCAGTTAAGGTTGCAAAAAGTTGCATTCTGAGAACTACTCTAGGGCTCACTTCTAAAACTATCATAAACAGATATTTTAAATTAAATGTTACATGTGTGATATCAGGAAATTTTCAGTGACATACAGATACTGTATAGGGTAAAAATAACCTGCGGTGTTCATATTCGCTATATTCACGGTGTTAGTAAATCCGTGAATTCAAGAAACAGAGAATAAGTTTTCAATAACCTCAATGTTATATTTGGAAATTTGAGAAAAGACTACAACATGAATATATAGGTGCAGTACACGGTCATTTCAGTTATTATGAGTCATACTTCAATTATTCTGATTATCACGCTTTACTTTAATTTATATCAGCAGATAATAACCTTTTTATTATATAGTCTATTTATAGTCCCTATATAATCTATACAAACACAAACAGTTCATAACACTACATATTCACTGGTTTTGAAGCCGTATTCACCGGAGGGTCAGTGCGCGTGCAGCGGCATTGTGACGTCACAATCATCACTCACCAATATTGTAAACAATGGCTGCAACGACCGGAGCCAGCTGTGTATCTGAGCAGGAAAAACATTAGCCAAGCCTATCGAAGGATTATTTTCTAAACATTTCGATGTCTTACAAACAGCAAAAGGAAAAAACATAAGTTATAACTTGTAATCTGGACATTTTTTTTTTTATTTTTCCACGACAGAAGTTCGTAAATGAGAGTGGTATCATCATGCATTCAATGTCTTATTTATTCAAATCTGGACTACATAATAAAACAATTATGGACTCTTTCGGTGGTGAATATGGTTTGTTATTCACCAGAAAAATATCAATATTGACCTCGGCTTCGCCTTGGTCAATATTGATATTTTTCTAGTGAATAACAAATCATATTCACCACCGAAAGAGTCCATAATTGTATAGTATTTGTAAAAAAGCTGTTTTAATAGCCAATGCTATATGTTTCATCAATCAAAACAAGTGGGTCTTGGGTTTTGATTACCCGTGCGTAACTATGTTACCAAGTGTATTTGTTACCTGCATTATCATATTTTTATCGACATTTTGGTTTTAAAAAATCATTCAAATAACTATCGAACTTGCTGAAGATGTGGAAGGATATTATTTTGTCGACCTACATTAACACATTTCTTACCATCCAGTGGTTTTCCGCCGCAATGTATTATCCCTTCAGAAAGAAGATCTTAGGGTGTACATGCACTCATCGTAATAGCATATAGGAAAAGTCATTCGACGTTTATAGTCAAGGACTTTTAATACTTGATTTTTTTAATTACTCTTCAATTAATTATTAAATCTAACTATTTTATATAAACCTACCCTTTTGTTCGTGAAGTGAATACATAATGGTGATTAATGTCATTCTAGCTATGCTATGGATTAAACATATATAGACAAGGGAGATAACTTTTATTGTACAGTCAAACTTGTCATAGCGGTCACCTTTATCCAGCGGTCACCTGTCCTATGCGGTCAATTTATTTCCTCCCAATGAATTTTTCTATATAATGTAACTCTATTAAGCGGTCACCTGCGTAAAGCGGTCAGCAGTCATCAAATTTCATGTAAAACCGCCGTTTTACCTTGTATAGAGCAACCATTTTGTCCAATCACGAGACCAGATCAAGAGTCAGGTGACTCCTAATTATTGTCACTAATGTAAATAATTAGTCTAGTGGGACGAAACCATCAAAAAGAAAAAAAATGGCCCAATTTAAACCATTTAAAATATTGGATAATTTATTTTTTTTTTATCAAAACTCAAATAAGGGTGCTAATGAATGAAATAGTTATCAGGAAAACGAACCTATGAGAATCTTAGATTTTAGAATTGGAATCTGGTTTAAAAAATTCTAAGTGATATTTTTGAAAAAAAAACACATCCTTATTTATATATTAATGGATACAATATGAAGGTGTTTCTTAATTATTAGCCCATTGTGGCCCCACCCAACCCCCCAGGGTCATGATTTGAACAAACTTGAATCTACACTATCTGAGGATGCTACCATATAAATATGACCAATCATGGCTTTGCTGTTCTTGAGAAGAAGATTTTTTAAGATTTTTCCTATATATTCCTATGTAAAACTTTGATCGCCCATTGTGGCCCCACCCGACCCCCAGGGGTCATGATTTGAACAAACTTGAATCTACACTACCTGAGGATGCTTCCACATAAGTTTCATATTTTCAAGCACAGTGGTTCTGGAGAAGATTTTTTAATGATGCCATTAATTTTTCACGAATTCTTAATTATCTCCCCTTGGAAGAAGGCGTGGCCCTTCATTTGAACAAACTTGAATCCCCTTTACCCAAGGATACTTTGTGGCAAGTTTGGTTGAAATTCGCCCAGTGGTTCTTGAGAAGAAGATGAAAATGTGAAAAGTTTACAACGACAACAACGACAATGACTACAACGATGACAGACAACGGACAAATTTTGATCAGAAAAGCTCACTTGAGCCTTTGGCTCAGGTGAGCTAAAAATCACATAAACATCAACAAAGAAAAGAATTCCTTACTCTCTGGAAAAAGTCTTCTGCATTCTCATCATTTTCATTGGAGCCTGAAAAAAAATTAATCTTTCCAATTGAATTTAAGTTTTAATATTAACACTTTAAACAAATTAATTTATTTCTAAAAGAAAAGGTGAATTGGGAGTTCTTTCCTGACTTTTATATTCTTCCAGTAACATCTCAACACTTTTTCCTTTAAGGATATCAGATCCTCAGCCAGGAACTATAACTATTAAAATAATTATTTAGTTTTACAAAGTCTCAAAATGAAGTTTGAAATTGAAATCTTTTTGTGCAACACTTTATCTTTTATGCATCTCAGTATGATTCAAGGACTTTTGGTTTTAGAAACGGTCTTGTAAAAAAAAAACATGACATTTGTAAAGCAATAAAAGTAAAATAAATAAATACAGTCAAACCTGTTTATCTCCAACTTGATGAGACCAAGAAACAAGAGGCCCATGGGCCACAACACTCATTTGAGTAAACATGGCCCTTCTTGTTTTTCATCAGCAGATTCTTCCCATACATTCCTAGGCCTATGTAAAACTTTGATTGCCAATTGTAGCCCCACCCTACCTTAATAAACTTTAATCTACACTACCTTAGGATGCTTCCAAATGGATTGGACTAATCAAGGCTTTCCTTTTCTTGAAAAGATTTTTGAGGCTTTTTAGTATGTATTCCTACTGCTGGCAAGTGGACAAAAATCATAATCTATTACTGGTAATAATCAGCTGTACATAATCGATTAATTATCAATTACAGTAGTGCCTCATTAATCCGGACGCCTTCGTCCAGAACAAAATCCTCCAGATAAATGAATCGTCTGGATAAGTGAATCACTTCTCAAAAAACCCTCTCAAAGCATGTACATGAGCACATACTGGTATCAAATGTGAAGGCAAAGAAAAACAAGAGGCCCAAGGGCCTTAATGGTCACCTGATTATAAAACAACAATTCATAGAGTATAAAATAAACTGATAGAAGAAGCTTTGTTGCTCTAAAGCAAGAGAAATAGGGTGATCAGGATCATCGAAATAATTAGTCTAGTATTCAGTAACAACTAATAAATTAAAAAATAATTAGTCTTGTATTCACTAACAACTCATAAATTAAGTTCTAATCTGTCCACCATTTAGATTTTTTTCCTGTAAGTTTTATTTTCTATTTTAGCCCCACCTCCGGAGTCATGATTTGAACAGTCTTGAATTTTCCCTACTAGTACATGAAAATGCTTCTGTATTAAAATGACTAATCATGGCTTTGTTGTTCTTGAGAAGATTTTTAAACGATATTTCCCATACATTCCTAACCAAAACTTTTATCTCCTTTTGTGTCCCCTCCCTACCCCAGTGGGTCATGATTTGAACAAATTTGAATCAACATTACTCAAAGATGCTTCCATATAAATAAGACAAATCATGGCTTTGCTGTTCTTGAGAAGAAGATTTTTAAATGATCTTTTCTATGTATTCATATGTAAATCTTTGATCATCCATTGTGTTTAACGAAGTCCTGTGCAATATTGAGGTAATTAAGCTTCACCATTTGATATTTTTACAGTTAATCAATAAAATGAAGGACTTAGGATTCAGTGTAAATTTTCAATTATTGATTGATTTTTTGCAAATTAAGTTTTTTTATTGTTCAAAAGTACATAATTTTCCCTATCTAAATGCAGTGTGATAGTAGAAACTTGCTTTTTCAAATTTTAAACTCAATCTGAAATATTTTAAAAGATACATGTTCACATACTTGAAAATTCCAATTATGGACAGAACAATGAGACCTCAAACATGGAGAATCAAAACTCCACCTAGACACTGTAGGGCATAGTATTTTTTAATCAATATCTCTAAAATAAGGTAAGAAACTTAATGTTATAACTGCTTTAAGCTATGTCGAACATTCTAAATTAGTCATATACACAAAATTAAATTAATTGAATGACTTTTTTTTTCAGCTCAAGGTCCTTCTTCCCCTTCAATAGCTTTCATCATTATGTATAACCATATGAAGTTTGATAAAAATATCTTAAATAGTTTCTTTGAAACACTAAGATAAGAAACGTGAGGTCAAGGTCAAAGGAAAGGTCAAGGTAAAAAAATGCTGATGAAGTTGAATAGACAAGTAAGGTCAAGGTCAAAAGAAAGGTCAAAGTCAAAAAATTTTGATGCAGTTGAACAGCTCTCACCAATATATATATATATCAGCAGCTTTTTTTTTAAGTGAGGCCAGGGTCAAGGAAAAAAAATGTTGATGCATTTAAAATATTATCAATATTTACCAACATATTAACCTTGATAACATTTCTTGAATAGTTTCTTTGAAACTGAGCTAAACGAAAAGTGTGATGAAAGGACAGAAGGATGGAAACACTATATGCCCTGGCCATATTCATGGCAGGGCATATAAAAACCATGCAATTTTCTCCAAATGCCTTGAAACATTGAATCTAGATAGTTTTCTATCCTAACATATATTTGTTAATCAACTTTCGATTAAAAAATTCAGAGCAGGTGCTTTTATTTGTGATTCCTAAAAATATATTTTAGACTTGATATTTTCCTTATGTAATATGTTTAACTATAATGATGAACTCTGACCAAATACCAATTGGTAAATACACATTACTTTGAGAATTCAGACATTTTACATTTATTTGAGCTTTTTCAAGTATTTAATAGCCATTCTCTGTAACCACTTAAACTTTTGTGGCACGCATAGTCACAGATTTTTTTCAAATTTGGCTAGAATTTACCACCTCATAAACTACTCCAAAAAATATTGTTAGATCATATGAATGTTGAGTAGTTACCATGGAAACGGTGTCTAAAGTTGATTTTTTCTGAAAAAATGCAATTTTTGGGAATGTCAATCAATGAAATGCGGCTACTTCAATTCATGTTACTCACAGAAATAAAAAGTATGATATCTGATTTTAAAAGGTATTTAAAAACATTGTTGGTATTCAGTCTATAAATATAAGAAATATATGATTAAAATAGCAAACATTCATTTTAAAATTGAATTATCTCCCTTTGATAATTGTGAGCTCTTTAGTGCGAGAGATAAAAAAATCATTGGACAAAACTGACTGGAAGTTGTTTACATTATCAACATGTATCCTGGATTTCAAGTAAAATCAAGTGTTTTTTTCTGTTTATTTAATGTGCATACAAATTTTAACCACTTTGTTTATTTCCTGCATGCAAAAAAAATATTGTGATGAGTGAACAGTGGCGAAATATAAAAAGACCACATGGTACAGGAAATCAGCTCTGTACACATTCATGATATTGAAGCCTAAGTTTCAAGGTCTTAGGAGTTTTAAAATGGGGATAAAAGATAAACTTGAGATATCAGAATTATACTGAATTGGTTGTAAGAAGAGGTACAATGTCCTAGTCAGAGTGATATATTATAATGAATACAGCCTTGGAAAGTCAGTGCCTTTTTAAAACAAATGTGGAAAAAAAAAACTGAATTATAATGTGAGAGAACTAGGCTATTGATTTTACCTAAATAATTAAAGTCAAGCTACATTTACATGTTTGTACAGAACTGGAATTTGAAGTTGAATACTGATTCAGAATGATGTATGTAAGTTGATGTCTGTCATTAAAGGGATGACCATTTGATGCGAAGGGGGGGGGGGGGGGTGTTACAGATTTTAGAAACTAAAGTCCGTTCTTGAAAATGTTGAAAATAAATAATCTGTCCTCAACTGGCAGAAAAATAAATAATCCATCTTTTAATAAGTGCTACAACCTCCAACCCAAAGGCACTTGTTTCGGTAATATTTTTTTAATAAGTATAATTATTATACTATGGGTTAAAAAAATTATTACCAAAACAACTGCCTAACCCCCCCCCCCCCCCCCCCCCCCCCCGAAATAAAGTTTGGGCGTTTTCCCTTGGGGCGGGATGGATTGTTTATTTTATTTTCAGACTTTTATAATCTGTCCTGGATCATATTGGAAATAAATAATGTGTCCTTCAATTCCATGAAAATAAATAATCTGACTTGGAAAAAATTTGCCCCCCCCCCTTCTGAATCAAATGGTCGTCCCTTAACCCATTAGTCAACGCAGTCATATTATGCAGTTTTAAACAGAATTTATGTCATTCATAATTTACAACTTTTATATGATGAGTGTTTTCACTTGATAGAATTTGCTACATTTAAAATATAAACTGATACTCTTCACACCCTCATTCTGAAATTAAAGAACGTAAAAGTATATTTTATCTCTATGTAAAGGCTACAAGTAGAAAACAATCCACACCTAAAAACCCTGTATTAGTGAGGGATGTAACAGAAAACTCAATCTTTTTAATATTACCGTTTGCCTTTATCTGTATCTGATTCAGAAAAAAAGAGAGAAAATTTATCTGTGTATATTTCAGATTTGAACTTTTTATTCAATGACTTTGAAAATATTTTATAAAGAAATTGATCATGTTCCTGATCCAAGTATTTTCTTTAAGTGAATGGTCTTTATCCAAAAAAAAAAAAAAAGAAATTGTTACGGTCAGTAATGAAAATGTTTTGTTTTGTAATTGATTCCTTTCGACCAGTGAAAATTATACTTTTAAATTTTTTTTTTTTTTTTTTTTGGGGGGGGGGGTTGCATAGAAATACAAATTGTCTGAATCATATTTTAAAGTTATCATTTTTATCAAGTTTATCATTTCTCTAGACTAAGAAAAATGTAGATTGAACCTTGTAGCAGTAAAATTAATGGTAAATCTGTGTAGCTGTTTTTTTTTTTTTTTATTGATAATGAAAACATAAATAAATTTCTGACAAGCCCCCCTGCCCCACCCCACCCCTTTGTACCAAAAGAAAAAAAAATCATAAAATTAAACACAAAAAATCTATACTCGGAAATGAGGGCGGGTTGGGGTTAATCACTTATGAATGAACCGCTTTCTTTCATATTTATATATAACGCTTCTTAATGTTTCACAAGGGATCCGTGTTTTTCTTACAAATGCCTCTTACCCATTTATTTGGGGTAAGTGCTTTTACATTGTTCCTGG